TTCAAAACTGTGTGTATGGGATGTCACCATTTATGCAAAAAAGAGAAAAAAGAAGATGTAGTTACATATGTTCTTTATAAGTGTACAATTTCTCTGGAAAGGTATACAAGAAACGGAATAGGACGGCTGCCCCTGGGGAGAACTGGGGACTGGAAAGTGGGATGCGGGGCAAGGAGAGAGATTTACTTTTCTCTAAATCCCCTTTATTACTCTCAGCGCTTTTCACTGGGTATGAATGCTACCTATTCATATAGGTAGAGGGAAGTATAAGGAGCCAAAGAGAAAGCTCTGGAACCAGGCAGGAAGACACTCGCAGGAGGTCTCTGGGCGAGTCAGCATCTCCTTTGTATCCTCAGTGTCCCAATTAGAAGCCCTATAATAGCTTTTCACAGGAAAAAGTGGCTTGAATATCTGCCTAAATGTTCTAACACACCTAAAGAACCACCCTGCTGGACTACAAACAAGAGACCCCGATGCAGTCTCTCTGCAGACTAAGTTTTATTTTGTAAAACTTCAAACATATGCAAAAGTAGAGAGAATGGTATAATGAACTTCCATGTACCTATCATCCAGCTTTAGCAGTCATCAAGATAAGGACAATGCTGGTTCATCTCTGTGTGCCCACCCACTCCTTCCAGGATTATTATTATTATTTGTGTGTGTTTGTGTGTGTGTGTGTGTGTGAGGAAGATCAGCCCTGAGCTAGAATCCGTGCTAATCCTCCTCTTTTTGCTGAGGAAGACCAGCTTTGAGCTAACATCTATTGCCAATCCTCCTCCTTTTTTTTTTTTTCCCCCTAAAGCCCCAGTAGATAGTTGTATGCCATAGCTGCACATCCTTCTAGTTGCTGTACGTGGGACGCGGCCTCAGCATGGCCGGAGAAGCGGTGCATTGGTGCGTGCCCGGGATCCGAACCCGGGCCACCAGTAGCAGAGTGCGCGCACTTAACCGCTAAGCCATGGGGCCGGCCCCAAGATTATTTTTAAACAATCCAAGACATCATATTACATTTCATCTCTAAATATACATCAGTATATGTCTCTACAAGGTAAGGACTCCTTTTTGAAAACACAACCATAATACAATTATCACACCTTTTAAAAAATCAATAATATCAAATCTGTTTTAAAAGATTTTTTTATTGTGGTAAGACACACTTAAATAAAATAAAATTTATCATCTTAACCATTTGCAAGTGTACAGTTCAGTGGTATTAAATACATTCATAATGTTGTGACATCAACAACTGAAAGGAATGGGGACAGAGTTGTAAAGGAGCAGAGTTTTTGTATGTTATTGATGTTAAGCTGGTATAAAATCAAATTAGAGATAACTTTAGGATGTTAAGTGAAATCTCCACGGTAACCACAAAGAAAATAGCTATAGAATATACACAAAAGGAAATAAGGAAAGAATTTAAACGTTTCACTATAAAAAACCAACCAAATAAAAAAGAAGACAGAAATGCAGGAAATGTGGTATGAGAAAGCTATAAGGCATATAGAAAACAAATAGCATGATGGGAGAAGTAAGCCCCTCCTTATCAGTAATTACTTTAAAGGTAAATGGATTAAACTCTCCAATCAAAAGACAGAGATTGGTAAAATGGATAAAAACACATGATCCGACTATATGCTATCTACAAGAGACTCACTTTAGACCCAAAGACACAAACAAGTTGAAAGTGAAAGGATAGAAAATGATATTCCATGCAAATGGTAGCCAAAAGTAAGCAGGGGTTGCTATACTAATATCAGACAAAATAGACTATAAGTCAAAAAGGTTGCAAGAGACCAAGAGGACATTATATATTAACACAAGGTTCAATACATTAAGAAGATGTAACAATTATAAACATTTATGCACCTAATAACGGACCAGAAAAATATACGAAGCAAAAACTGACAGATTGAAGGGAGAAATAGACAGCTCTACAATAATAGTTGGAGACTTCAATGCCCTATTCTTAATAATGGATAGAACAATCAGATAAAAGATAAAGAAATAGAGGACTTAACACAATAAACCAAATAGATTTAACAGACATATACAGAACACTCCACCCAACAACAACAGCATACACATTCTTCTCAAGCACACATGGGACATTTTCTAGGATAGACCGTATGTTAGGCCACAAATTATGTCTCAATAGATTTAAAAAGATAAATATCATACAAAATATCTTCTCCAACCACAACTGGATAAAATTAGAAATCAACAACAGAAGTAAAACTGGAAAACTCACAAATTTATGGAAATTAAACAATATTCTCTTAAACAATCAATGGATCAAAGAAGACATCACAAAGGAAATTAGAAAATACTTAGAGACAAATGAAAACAAAAACACAACATACCAACACTTATGGGATGCAGTGAAAGCAGCGCTAAGGGGGAAATTTATAGCTATAAATGCTTATGTTAAAAAAGATCTCAAATCAACAACTTACTCTACAACATAAGAAACTAGAAAAAGAAGAACAAACTAAACCCAAAGGTAGCAGAAGGAAGGAAATAATAAAGATCAGAGCAGAGATAAATGAAATAGAGAATAGAAAAACATAGATAAAATCAATGAAACCAAAAGTTAGTTCTTTGAAAAGATCAATAAAATTGACAAACATTTAGCTAGAGGTACTAAGAAAAAAAAAGAGAGAAGACTCAAATTACTAAAATCAGAAATGAAAGTAGAGACATTACTCCTGATTCTACAGAAATAAAAAGGATTATAAGTGTACTATGAGCAACTGTATGCCAACAAATTGGAAAACCTAGAAGAAATGGTCAAATTTATTTTTAATAACATGTGACATTTCACTTTTGACCAATCAACTTGCATTATCTTTTTTTTTTTTTTTT